CTCAAGGCTCTTCCTTTTTTCACAAATACGGAAAAAGAATAATGGATAAAATAATGAGATTCAAAATACTCATTTATTGAAAAAAAAGAAAAGGCAAAGTCTGTTCTCCTTCACAACGCCAAAAGAGAGAGAGAGAGAGAGAGAGAGAGAGAGAGAGAGAGAGAGAGAGAGAGAGAGAGAGAGAGAGAGAGAGAGAGAGAGAGAGAGAGAGNNAGAGAGAGAGAGAGAGAGAGAGAGAGAGAGAGAGAGAGAGAGAGAGAGAGAGATTGAAGGGATGGCTTCGAAATACATCACAAATATAAAATTTTAAACGCAAACCAGACGGTCCACCGTGTGCTTCACTCCATGAGGAGAGGATAAGTGTTTGTGTGCTGGAAGCCGACTCTTTAATTTTGGAGACGCCATGCAGGAGGAGGAGGACTCTCAAAAGTGGTGAAGCTTCAGGCTAGGAATGCCACGTTTTTCGAGAGGCGATAGGTGTTTTGGAAATACTTTTCTTACACCTTGAAAAATTTTATGGCTGTGTGGCGATCGTTAAACTCTTGAAAACAGTGATTTTGAGAGTGTGTGGCAACATTGGTTTTGAGAGTGGTGTGGGAATGCCCTTGTTCTTCATAAATTATGGAGATCCATGGTCAGAAATAAAAAGCATCCCCAACTGGATAGATTATGAGGAGTTCATAGATGATTGGAAATGAATTCTTCATTTATCCAATGAAAAAAAAAAAAAAGGTAACTATGACGCAGCCACAAAAACAGTTTGAAAATGCACTTTAGGCATTCCCTGGAAACATAACGCACCCCCACATGACCCTACTGGACCCGACACCTAACTTTTATATATTTGATATTTTCAGGTCTTTTGCCTGCAGTGCATTTTCACACTCTGTCGAAACCTAGCTTGTATATATTTGATATTTTCAGGCCTTTTGCCTGAAGTGCATTTTCAAACTTTAACTGCGATGTAGTTTTCTCAGGGGAACAAAACAAAACAAAACAAGAAAGAAAGTCCCTGCAAAAGAAAGGGCACACTTTGTATGAACCAACTGAGATAGTGCTCTCTCATCACCATCAGTGTTGGTAGGGTCTTTAGCTATCGGGGGTGGTGCGGGGGTGATGGGGGGAGCTGTGTGGTGTGTGGGATAGCGTTGGCTTTTGACACTGGTGTTACTGGATGGGGGCGGGCGAAGCAGATCGGAGGTGCAACTCCTGGCAAAATGCTCAGTCTTTGCGCTAACCAGCCCCCCCCACGGGCGGAGCCACCTTGCTCCCTGACCACCGATTAGGGCGGGGGGCAGCATGCATCCCCTTGATTGTGATAGGTAGCTATGATTGCAGTTGTACAGGCTTAAGGTGCTGTTAGACACTCCTCGGGGACGCGATTCCAAGGTTTTCGTCTTTGTTCCACCTGTCCTCGGAGATGAAATCGTAAATGAAAATGTGAAAACACTCCGGGGACAAATCCTTGGGCTCTGAGGATCTCCCAGCCAAATCGTCCTCAGCTCCAAGGGACCTAGCGAGGTCACTCGGTGAAGTTCGATGGCCAAACTTGGACGGGACGGAACCACTTCCTTTTTCTTGCCGATAGAGCTAAACAGGCATTAGCAGCAATATAATAAAACCATTTGCTGACATAAATTTTCTGTTCTGCCGAATGAAGGACTGAAAATCCTTGTGTCAGTAGTTCGAATCCACTTCTAAACAGGCAACATCAACGGAGGATACGTGTTTCACGGAGCATAGAGAGAGGTTAAACCGGATCTTGGCGGCACCCGATTGGCTGAAAGCCTGAAGCACAACTGTTTTTCTTTTTTTTTTTTCTTTTTTTTTTGACATCGCTCCGAGGATGAGTCTTAAATCCAACGCTCCCAGGATGAGTCTAATGAAGAGTATGAAAACCCTAAACTTTTCAGAGGATTCATCCTCGGAGCCCAAGGACGCCCCAAGGGGCACGGTTCCACTAGCACACGAGTCATGGCCTACTTGGACCTGTGCGGCACTGTAAGAAAAGGAAGAAAAGTAATTTTAAAGACTTAAAAAAAAGAAAAATGGCGATGTTACATTTCCCAAGATGGGAAGGAGGCCGACTTTTGAAAGTGCTGCCGTCCCACTAACCCTCCCGTCTCCTCCCCCTGCTCCCCACGCAGCCAACGCCTAATCAGGACAGAGTGCTACGTGACTGTCGCAGTCTCGTGTACCGCGTGGGAGTCCCTTCGTGTGCCTGATGGGACTCCCTTCTCTGACGGTTGCCACGCTGAAGCGTGCATTTCATATATTTTGAGAGAAAATCGAAGTACTGGATGGGGTTAACAATTGACCGGAAAAAAGAAGGGGGTTAAAAACATGCTCTTCGAGTACTTGATTTTTTTTCATCTTTTGAAGAGCTGCCAATCAAAATGAGTCTTTCTATTTTCTTTTCCGGCCTCCCATTCTTGGGAACTGGCAAGAAAAAGCACAAAAACAACAAAAAAAAACACCACTTCAGAATATAAATCCCTCGCAATTTCTCTGCCATCCGATTCTCCTGCATCAGTGGTCGGACGATGTCCCGCAGATGTCCCAAAGGTGTTTGTGGGACACAGTTTACCTTACTCCTTCGATAGTGGAACCGTGCTCAAGGAGTGTCTAAGGACACCCTTAGGAGAAGTGGTGAGTAGACAATAAAAGGTGAATTTGAGGAAAGAAGGGGCAGGGCAGGGCTCGAAGGGAGTCGCAGCAGCCCATGTCGCAAATGTCACTGTTAGCGAACAGATCATGAGCTCGAATACAATAACGTTAAGGCTGAAAATAGTGGGGTCGTGTACAACACCGTCGCGCTGCAAATCTGTGCCTAAGGTCCTCGCTCCGATACTGATCAGATGTACAAATGGAGAATGAACCGACGGTTTTCAAAAGACTTGTGTGGTGAGTAGTGGAGCGAGGCCCTAAGCTCCCCCACCTGTACGGCTACCCGTCTTCCCCCGAACACAACGCACCCTTATTTTGGCTGTATCTGGACGGAAATATAGCTTGTATACATTCATTTTTAGGGTGCGTTATGTTCGGGGGAAGACGGGTAGGGAAATGGCTCCAGCGTGTGCTTCAGCCGCTGGTGCCTTTACTGGGCTGACCCGACGGCCCCGGCCCGCGCGCGGGGCTCGGCCCGTTCTCCGCTTTCGCATCCTTTTCAGGGCCAAGGGCCACTCAGGCTATGTCAGGAAAATATGCTCGCAAGAATCTGTCCTGAAGAGGCGACCACATTCATGATTTGTGAAAACGAATAGGAAATCTGGACCAAGTGGACGTGGCCCATCTCCCGGCTTGCCCGGGCCTTATAAGACCCCGCCCTCAACGACGGATCCGTGTCCGCCGCGGGCAAGGTCCCACACGTACCCAACTTGCACCTTTTCCTGACCCTCGATCCCCAGATCGACGACCACAAGTGAAAGAATCGGGATAAGCGGGAGTGGGCCTGGATATCCCGTCAGTTTCTTCTTCTTTGATTTTTGTTTTTTGTTTTTGTTTTCGGCCTGAATTTGTTTTGCCGGGGGCAAAGTCCCAATAGAAGGGTTGAGTTTCCTCAACGCTTAAATCTGGACGTGTTTGTGGAGATGTGCGGTTGAGGAAACTCAACGACATTTATGCATAGCTCCACGATCGCGACCAGATTCAGGTGTCGATGAAACTCAACGCTGCTCGTGGGACTTGGCCCCGCGGAACGCTACCGAAAATTCCCGCGCGTTTCTCCGAAAAAAAAAGAAGGCCAGTGCTAAGGCCAGTGCTACCATCTTCCCCCGAACACATCTCACCCTTATTTTGTCTGTGTCTGGACAGAAATATAGCTTGTATACATTTAGGGTGCGTTATGTTCGGGGGAAGATGGTGGCCGTGTGGAATGGAAGTGGGACCTCGCGGCCGTTTCTCCCGCCTCTGGCCTCTGCGCGGACGACGCGTGTCCAAAGTGAGTCGTGCGAAAATGGGCTCTTCGCGCCCCTTTCCCAACGGCAAGTGCAGATCCCTACGGGAAGATCCCGGTAGCAGATCTCTATGGATGCACTGCCATGATGGCCTCTTTTTTTGCACTGGACAAAAGTTTTGGACGTATCTGACAATGTAACGGTCCCGATACGTTCGAAATGTCGTGTCGGGCCAGACCCATACGTGTAAAAAGTCGTGTAGGGGATCCATGGCGCCAGTACACGACATCTCGTCCGTCGATAATTCAAATCGATGGTCATCGTCCCGCCTTTTTCTTTTTGTTTTCCTTTTCCGTTTTTCCCCCCTTCGAGGCAAATGCCGCCGAACCACTTACAGAGTTTTGGTTTTTTGAAAAAAGAAAAGAAAAAGAGAAAAAAAAAAAAAGCTCTTACAGGTGTAACGGGTAGTGAACGGTCAGCGCGCCGTGTCTGGAGGGAGGTCCCCTGTACGCGCCCTCTTTCCCCTCGAGGAAGGGCAGTCCACTACTCTCGACAACTACAAACGTAAAAAAACATTCCAATGTATGTGTCCGGGTTTTAGCGGAGGATTCAGTCTCACTCTGCACATTTTCGAGAGTAGTGGAGCGAGGCCCTTCATGTGCTTGTAAAGAGGTCGTCCTCAGCTTTATATAGCAGCTGTAAGTTCTCGGTGTCCCTATAGCTAACGATAGCCCTCGTCGCCAAGCTAAGGAGAACGCTTTTGTCAGTCTTGTCGTGCGCTACCGGTCGCTGCTAGCTCCCTCGCACAGCTAACGTACTCGAGCGGCCGGTATTCTGTTGTTACACCGGTCGTTACACCGGTCGCTGCGGACTGTCGACCGGCGGGAAACTACTCGCGGTTCGGTCGTTGTGGAATGCGATACACACATCTAACGTACTGGATCGAGTGGAATTTCTCGCTCGCTCTGCTGTTTTTTCATCGGTCATCGGTCGCTGTGAACGCAATTTCACATACTGGCTCGTGCCTTGCTCCGCTACCGGTAGTCGCCGCCGCATCATACAGCTAACGTACTCGATCGGATGTACGTAGAATTCGAATTGGTGGTGCCAATTTCTGAGTGAGGTCAAGACCTTTTCGCTGTCCAGGATTGCAGGCGCTGTGCTGTTCGGGACACTACCACGTGTTCATATTTACGGTCTATTCCTCGTTGAGTAGAGCTCTCATCGTCGTCGTCGGCCTTTCCCAGCGTTGTCTCCGCAGTGCAGCTACGCGTTTGAGTTCTTTGTCGCGCATATTTCGTCCGCCCTGCCAGCAGCCATCGCGGACTTCTCGTATTCCGCTCTTTCGTCTTTTCGCTATCTTGCTGGAAGCCCGTGCGCCTTTCTTTCCTGTGGTTGTGTAGTGCACTGAGCCATGGCTGCGCCGCCGAGTACCTCTTGTGTCCTGCTAGTGGCCGTGTTGATGTCGTGCTCTCTCTCTCTCTGCTCATCTAGCAACCTTCTCAATATCCTATCTACGGATCGGAACTTCACCATTTTGTACAATGCATTCTATCAGTCAGGCGAATTACAGTCTCTGGAGGAACGCACGCAGGTGAACGGCACGGCGTTTGTGTTCTTTGCGCCGATCGATGGCAGCTTTGTGGACTTTGGCTATGAAGTTATGGAGTGCATTACGAGGCAGGAGAATTTCAAGAACGTCTTCAGTCAAGTTCTTCGGTACTTCCAAGTGACTACCATCAAGAGGCAAGTGAACACTGTACAAGATTTAGCGGCCGTTGCGGTAGATGCCAAGCTTTGGACGGTCTTGGGGCAGCCTATCCAAGTCTTCGTGAGTGGGACGGAAGTCATTCTGGCGAATGAGGATGGAACGGATCAGACGGTGGTGACGAAAGCGATGGTCACAGACACTAACGTGACGCTCATTGTACTCGAGAAGGGCGTTCTCCTCTCTAGCCAGGTTAGGAACCAGATCATGAATACGTGTTTCCCTCCCCCGCCGGAGTCTGCCCCCCCAAGCTCAATGCCGATCGCTCTTCCGTACTATTAGTCTTCCGTCGTTGCCTCTACATTTCGTGAGCTAATTCTTTATTTCCTAGCCCTGATGGATCGCTTCAGGGGTTGGAGACACAGAGAGAGAGAGAGAGAGAGAGAGAGAGAGAGAGAGAGAGAGAGAGAGAGATTAGAGCTGAGTTTCGTCGTTGTCGGTCAGCGGTTTGTGTGCTGCTACTGGAAAAGGTGTCTGGTTTCTCTTGTGTGCATTAGTTACACAGAGAGAGAGAGAGAGAGAGAGAGAGAGAGAGAGAGAGAGAGAGAGAGAGAGAGAGAGAGAGAGAGTGAGAGAGAAAGTTAAGTTTCGTCGTTTTCGATCAGCGGTCTGTGTGCTGCTACTGAAGAAGGTGAGTCTGGGTTTTCTTGTACGCTGACACAATTTGGGTGTAGCCTATGCTGTCGGCGAAGCGCTTGCTTTTGGAACTGTGGATCTCGGTTTCTGTACGATACAGCCATGAACCCTGACTTTTTGTGCTAAAAGAGTTTTGATGGGGTCGAGGTCCTGCGAGCGGTACTGCGGCTTTGTTTGATAGTAGAAGAGGTCAGTGTTCCAGTATTGGTGAATCCATGTGCGCTTTGAAGACGGACTTCGAATAGAGGCGAAGTCATTTGCATTTTGAAGTCGACCTCGAATAGAGGTGATTTCATGTGCATTTTCAAGACGTGTGCATTTTCAAGACGACTTCGAATTGAGCCCAAGTCATTGCATTTTGAAGATGACTCGAATAGAGGTGAAGCCATGTGCATTTTGAAGACGTCTTGAACTGCCGGAGGATGGACTGACGGTTCGCTTTGATCGATCTGTTATCTTATGAAATTAGGGAAGTGTAAATTTGTTAGTTTCGGATGGGCTATGCTGTGGCTTAAGCTTTTGATCATATGTTCTTAATGGGTGAGCGTCACCCATTTGAGCAGCTATGGTTGTTCGGACTGCAGGTGTCTGCGGTTATATGCGGTTATTTTATATCGTTGCTGATGACCGTTTCCGGTGTCGGCTTGCTTACGGACAAGTCCTCGATGTTGCTGTCCTGGCTGTGGTGTGCATGTACCCTCTTTTTCGTGTTTTTTCAATTGTGTTTGACATCTCGTATCTTTCGCGGTCTTTAAAAGCTCGAAGCGTAGGTGATAGTAGCTTCTCGTTTTCCCGTAAAGAATGAAATTTGTGTTCTAGTTGTGCCGAAGATTCAATGTCGAGGATTGTTGTGACTGTATGTTTTGCTGGCTATATCTTCTCGAACCGTAAGTGATGGAAGGACGTTCTACATGTAAGTTATCCGCGTTTTCGTGTTAAAGAATAAACGTTTTTTTCGTCTAGCGCTTGTGACTTGCTGGAAAGGTCTCCACGTAACTTTCATTAATCTGCTGTATGTAGGCTACGAGTCCACAGTTTCGGTACGTAACGTGATGACATGATGCCCTGGAGTTCGCAGTCGATGCTGACTGTTTCTCGTTGGCTAGATCTTCTCGATATAAGTGGTAGAAGGTTGTTCTGCATGCAACGTACGCTCGTTTTCGTGTTAAAGAACACGCTGATTTTTGTCAAATTGCTTAAAATCCGATGTCGAGGACATCGATTGACTATGTTTTACTGGCAAGATCCTGTATGTTTTGCTGGCACGATCTCTGGGCATCTGTAGTCATGTACTGAGTTCGTCTGCGATTCCAAATCCTCGTTTTCGTGTTAAGTGATTTTATTTGGGACTTGCTGAGGACCGGATGTCGTCGAGGATTAACGATTGACTCTATGTTTTGCTGGCAAGATCTATGCGGAACTATCAGTAATCTACTGTGTCTCGTTTGCGAGTCTGAAGTTTTCGGTACGCATGCGAGTCTAAATTTTCGGTACGCAGCTTCTGACTCTTCGAATATCATTGGCTGTATGTTTTGCTGGCAAGGTCTCTGCGGAACTATCAGTAATCTACTGTGTCGTCTGCGAGTCTTAAGTTTTCGGTACGCAGCTAGTCTAAATTTTCGGTACGCAATACGTGTGGCCCTGGGGCTTGCGGGCGCCGTTGAGATTTTGTTTTCGTTTGCCAGCTGGAATACGTGTTGCGTTCGACTCTCTGACAATTGTCCGTATGTTTTGCTGACAAGATCTTCGTGAACTTTTATGGATCGACATTATGTTCTCTTTAGATCAATTGAAAACTTTCGGTACGTAGCGCGATTGCATGTTGCCCTTGTTTGCGGCTGCTCTTGACAGTCGCTAAGCTTTTGTTAGCTTTCGTGTTTTGCTATCTAGATCTTGGTTTTGTTGCCCTCGGTTGGTTTATTCGTGTCTATGATGCTCTTGTGTTTTTCCTTGGGAAATAGGTTTGAAGACTGAAGACTGAGCAGCACTTGTCCAATTCCTGTCGTTGTAATTGGCTGCCTATTGGTTAAAAGCATTGGGCCTCTCTCCACTCTACTCACGACATGTACCGAAGATAGAAAATATGATCATGTGTCTTACATTTTCTGATGGAAGATTGTTTATTTTTTATTATTATATTTTTTCATGTGTCTTACATTTTCTGATGGAAGATTGTTTATTTTTTATTATTATATTTTTTCGGAAGATTCATTTGCATTGCGTACATTTTTTCCGAGTACTGACGCGAGACCCATTTTGGTAAACGCTTTGTATGTATGTTGTACGTAAGTGTGGCTGAATGGTTCACTGTTTGTCGAACGTACCTATTCTTCCCTCGTTGAGTATGATCGTTGGTGGTCTTTTGAGGCGAACGAGGTTGATTACCGAAAGTGCCTTTCGTCTCTAGTAGAGTGCATAGATTGCGAAGTCCGGACTCTTTCGTTATGTAGCGAAACTGGAATGAGGCATATGCTGTCTTGCTGTCTTGGCCGGAGCTTATTCGCATTTACATGGGGCATAGTCAACGCACATATAGCTATGTTGGTTTCACTCGTCGGTGGTCAGTTTTTCAGATTGTGTCGATTCTCTATGGTTTCTCGTCTGTGCTCAATTTCCCATTTTATGTCGATTCGTGAGCAAGTGCGGTTGCCGGAAGAATTATCCGTCTCTCGATGCATGTACGATCTATATGCATTTGTTTGCGTAGGGTGTACTAAGTATAACCCAGGGTGAAACGGCGCGCATAAAAAGTGGCTGTTGTTGTTTGTTCGCTGTTTTTTCCATTTGCGACCAATTTGTGCTGTGGATATTTAATGGCCTATTTTTTCGCATGGTGTCACCTACTTTCACGGTCCAAGAAAGGTGTGCGTAGGTAATCATGGTTTTTCCATTTGCGGACCATGTTTTGGGAGCCTAAATCGGTTATTTCACCGTCCAAGAAAGGTGTGCGTAGGTAATCATGGTCGGAAATGGACGTTACCGTACAGGAAGCCTTTTGTCATCCAGTTTTGTCTAGGCTTTTGCCGTCCTGTTGTCTAGGTTGAGTTGAGGACATTTGGCTCCGATTTGTACCCCCATTTTGTTTTCCTCTTATGCTCGTTGTCGTTGTCGAAGCATAAGCTGTCTGTTTCTTGTCAGTGGTTTGACGTCGGCTGCATGAGGCGGAAGTCGAGCCGAGATGTCTAGTTTCTGTACCAGTTCCGCAGTCAATAAGCTTTTAGTAGATCCCGCCTATGTCTCGTCAGCAGCTTGACAATCGGCTCCATTAGGCTAGATCAGCCAAATGTCAAACTGCTGATTCGTTTCCCCTTTCGCTTTCGTTGTAACGGCCTATAAGCCAGTTTGACATATTCGTGTCCCTCTTTCGCTTTCGCTCCAGTAGATCTAGGGATCCCGCCTATAAGACCTAACGACCTAACGACCTAACGACTGAGTTACGGCCATAGCCAAATGTCAAACTGCTGACGAGACATTTGGCTCCATTTGGCGCCAGTAGATCAAGGGATCCCGCCTATAAGACCTAACGACCGAGTAACGGCGTTGGCGTCGATCTTGCTTGCCTGATTCGTTTCCCTCCTTCGCTTTCGTTGCCTTTGTTTCGAGACAAAAGCCTTGTCTGATTCTTTTCTCTTACTCTTGTTGTCGTTGTCTGACCAATGGTTGCATGTTTCTTGTCAGCAGTTTGACGTTTGGCTGCACGAGGTAGAAGTCAAGCCAATGTACTTGCTTGTTGTCGTCATGTGTTCTGTTGGAGTTGAGGATGTCGTTTTTTTTTTTTTTTTTTTTTTGGACCATTTCTCGATTTATGCGTCAGGCTCGTATAGTACGCGAATGGGACAAGCTAGATATCTCCGCTAAGCTTGCTCATAGAGCACAACGTCAAACTACTGACAAGAAACATGCAGCCTCTGGGTTGACAAGGACACAGGACAACGAGAGTAAGAGAAACGAATCAGACATTCAAGATCGAACCCATCAACATCCTCAACTCCGTCCTTCGGGACATCCGTTAAAATTGGAACGATACAGAGAAGATTAGCATCGACCCTGCGAAAGGATGACACGCATTTTGAAATATAAAGTGACAACTTCTCAAAAATAAAAAAAAAAGACGTTTGGTTCGGCGAGGAAGGAGTCGAGCCGCCGACATACTAAGTTTCTCTGCCAGTTACATATCGAATTAATTTAGGCTTAATTGAAGCTGCTGTTGCTTGTCAGCGTTTGACGCTTGGCTGCATGAGGAAGTCGAGCCGTGATACCTAGTAACTGTCCCAGCTCCAAATTATAGATGATTGTTTCTTGTCAGCAGTTTGAAGGTTTGGTTACGTGAGGAAGTCAAACTGAAGTACTTAGTTTCTTTCCCAGTTCCACGGCGAGCAGTTTCTGTCCCAATTTCACAGCAAGCAAGCGGTTTGTCGTAGTTCCTCTGCAAGCAGCCTTAGGCGTTCGCTACATTAGGAAGGCTAGTGTAGGTACTGGATTTCATTCCCAGTTCCACGGCAAGCAAGCAGTTTCTATCACATTTCCACAGTAATCGAGCGTAGTAGATGAGTGCCATGGTCTGGTCTGTTGTCTTTGCTGAATTTCCTAGGGTTGTTGTAACTTAGGCTGATAAATGGGCCAGTGCTTCTCGGTTTGTTCCTCGGTTTACTACTGTCTCCACAGACGTACCTAGGCTGATCAATGGGCCAAGCGGTTTGTTCCTCTGTACTGCTGTCTCCGGTGCTGCACACAAACGTACCATCTTTACCCGATTATAATGCGTGGTTGCTAAGAGGTGCCCCAACTAGAGGTATAAAGACTCGGCGTACTACTCGAGCGAGCACGGCAGAATGCTGCAAAGGTAGATCTCCGCCTTTGGAAAAAGAATAAGGTGTAAATAATTCCGTGCTTGTTGTGACAGCAGTGACTTCTGTCGGATGTTGCATGTCTACATCTTTGCAAACGAAGAACCAAGAGGGATAAAGTTGTGGCCTCGCTCCACTAACCAAATGTGCGAAATGACAATGAATCTTCAGCTAGAAAACGGAAGAATGCATCGCGATATATTTTGTCTTGTGCTTGTGGAGAGTCAGTGAGGCATTTTTCCGCGTCAAGATGTTACTTTGTACTTCGATTGTTAGGTCTTATATTTCTTGTCGTGCGAGGTTTCTGCTCGATTCAAAGTCTGACCGCTTGATCGTTGCCATTCCACGTCACTTGATTTGAGCATTCCGTTTTTTTTTTTTTTTTTTTTTTTTTTGCTTTTCGTGTTTTTATTTCCAAAGAGCCCGTGGGGGTATATCGGTAAACTACGCGAAAAAGAAGTACGCTTCGTGCAAAAAACGTTTTCTAATTGCAGTTTGGGCAATGTATACAGTGTAGCAACCTCTTGGGGGTTTCTCGGTTCATCTCTTGCGTTTTGTGTTTTGTTCCATTTGAAGGTAATGAAAATGAGATTAGTACGGGTTGCGTTACTACAAGAAAATTATCAAATAAATATATATAATACAAATTCTGTTTATTTTATTTATTACTCTTCATTATTGTATATCATTCTTTATTTTCAATAGACGTCCCGTCAGTGTTGGTCGTGCCCCGTTGGTTGGATCTCCGAGCCTCTTTTTCTCGACCCGGGGTCAAGTGCCCCTTGTTTGGAGGCTTAATTGGGTCTTAATTGCAGGCCGTTGATCTAGGGTCTAAAATTAATAGGGTCAAAAAGCAACAGGGTCAAAAATCAATAGCGTCGAAAATCAATAGTTGGGTAAGGCAGGACTTTCCCCGCGGACTGCTCTTTCAAACCGTGGCGGGGCGCGAAGCATTTTAATCCTCTTCTTTGCGACGGCCTTCAGATATGCTTGGTTTTCTTTGGGTAGTTCATAATTGTTTTGTTTTCTGTTTATCCGATTATATCTGGGCTCGAATTTGGGTCTGTATTTCAAGAGTTTATGGGTGTGCCAACTGAATTTGGGTCTGTACTTCAAGAGTTTATGGGTTTTTCTTATGGTTTATGCTCTCGTTGATACGCATCTTCTTCTGGTCCGGCAGATACTGCATCCCACGCGAGGTCTTTTTTAATTTTTCGTTAATTTGTACCATTTTTCGAATTAGTAGTGTCATCCTTGCTAAGCAGCAATGCGAGTCTTCTCTGTGCCGTTCCAATTGTAGCGGCTGTCACGAAGCACAATGAGGTTGGACACTTTCTTTCGCTGTGTGTCATGAACTTGTCGCACAAAGGGAGTGGAAAGTTGAAAGTTGTTATATTTGCATGCTTCCGCAGGGAGTGGCAATATGCATCTCGTGGAAGTTGCCACTCTCTACCTTCTTCCCCCGAATACAACGTACTCAAAGATGCCTCGGGGGAAGAAGGGTGTCTACACACCAGCGACTCTCAAGATGTGCTTTGTTTCCGCGTTGGTGTGGGCAGGACTTTGTCTACACCAGAGACTCTGGGCCTCTGTCGACTACTCACCAAATGTGCAAAATGGGAATGAACCAAAAAAAAAAAAAAAAAAAAGAATGAATCGTCGTCCGAACGTTGAAAAATGGACCAGGGGGATTCATTCTCATTTCGCACAACTACGAACGTTTTTGAGCTCGAGGCGATTTGGTGTTTTGGAGCTCTCATAAACATCTCCTAGTTCTT